GGCTCCTCTGCCCCCAGGCCTTCTCCACCACCGTCTGGCAGTTCCTCTCCATCCTGCAGGAGCACTTCGGGAGCATGGCGGGCGCCAACACCTACCTCACGCCGCCGGGCACGCAGGGCTTTGCCCCCCACTACGACGACATCGAGGCCTTCGTGCTGCAGCTGGAGGGGAAGAAGCACTGGCGCGTTTACGGCCCCCGGACGGGAGCCGAGGTGCTGCCCCAGTTCTCCAGCGCAAACCTCACACAGGCTGAACTCGGCGAGCCCGTTCTGGAGGCGGTGCTGGAGGCCGGGGACCTGCTGTACTTCCCCCGGGGGTTTATCCACCAGGGTGACTGTCTTCCTGATGCGCACTCGCTCCACATCACGGTGTCGTCCTACCAGAGGAACTCCTGGGGCGACCTCCTGGAGAAGCTCCTCCCGGCTGCTCTGCAGATGGCCCTGGAGGAGGACGTGGAGTACCGGCAAGGGCTTCCCATGGACTACCTGGGATACATGGGGGTCGCCAACTCGGACGTAGTCGATGCTCGCCGAACAGCTTTTGTGGAGAAGGTGCAGAGTCTGATAAAGAAACTTATCGACTATGCGCCTATTGATGCTGCCGTGGATCAGAGAGCCAAGTCATTTCTTCACGACTGTCTCCCCCCGGTGCTAACACAAAATGAAAAGGCGCTGAGCGTGTATGGATTTCCAGCCCGGTGGCAAGATGGAGGCACCCGCGACGTCGATATACTAATAACGAAAGACACAGAAGTACGCCTCCTCCGGCATGGCATCATTAGACTGTGCAATGAGGAAGCTGGTGTGATGCTGTATTACACGACAGAAAACTCACGAGTGTATCATAAAGAAGAGTGCAAGTCCCTTGAGATAGATCCCGAGTATACAGACAGTATTGAATTTCTCCTGTCTTCTTATCCAAACCATGTCAGTGTGGATACCCTTCCATGTGAAACCTTGGAGGACAAGATTTCTGTAGCCACACTCCTGTTTGAGAAGGGCATTCTGACTACTAAGAAGCCTCTGGTGCAAGTGTAGCTCTATTCTTGAACAAAATAAACATAGAGTTGTTTATAAAGTATTGTCTCCTGCTCTTACCTTACGTCTGCTGCTGAGTGTGAATCAGCGCTTTGGATCTCCGTTTCTGATCTGAGGGTAGAAGGGCTTTGACCTGGGTAGACAAATCAAACATTGTTCTCATAAAAAAAGTGTCTTCTGTTGAACTGTGCACGGTTAAGTGACTAGAGAAGACGGGTGCTTAATTTGTTTTTGCCAACCATATTACTGCATCCTAGGTAACTTCAGGAAGCTAGTGAACTTTTTTGCAGTCTGCAGATCAGCTGGGTGCTTACACTGTTTTAAAGCAGCCTGTGTTACTGTGGGAAGTACTCTCATTACTTAAAGACATATTTGCGGATGGTCACCTAGGAGCCATGCCGAAATTTGGGCTAGCTGGACTGAATTAGAATAGGGCATTCTCTAACAGTTTGTTTTTCCTTGTGTCAGGGTTAGGGGTTTGGAAAGGCAGCTGGGATGGAGGGTGGTGAAGGCTTTCTGCACAGAAGATAAGTTCTCCCTTGACCTTCATATGCTACTTCAGAATTTGGCTTTCATGAATCTGAATGCATGAACCTTACATAATTTTGCTGTGCCTGTTAGGGAGCTACTGACTGACTAGTAGTGCCTCCTCTCGCTGCAGAGGGAGCTCAGAAAACCAAGGGATGTTTTCTTCTGTACTGGCGTAGTTCAGATGAGAAATAGCTCTAAAACTTTTGTATTAGAATTACCAGGAGTGGACTGAAAAACAGCAGTGATCCTCTCCAGGATGTCTTCGCATTCAGAGTCAAGGTCCTCCCTGCTCCAACAGATTCGATTGGCCTTTTGCCGCAGCCAGTCCGTAACCTCTTCAAGTTTCAGTAGTTTCTGGGTCACCAAGTCCTTTTGGCTTAGCCTGAAAATCTGGATCAAATACATTGGCAGGTGAGTGTGACAGTAAGTCCTCTCTCTTAATTGAAAAATTATATTTGGTGCAAATAAATAAACTATTGTTTGGGCCATACAAGTCACAGCACGTTTGTTTCACTCTGACGTGTCATGGGAGAAGCCTAGGTGAGATTATTTACCTCAATAGTTCAAAGTCTTGCAAGTTAATTTAAATCTTCAGATGTGAAAGCACCTGATAAATTTGCTGACGCTTTTTGTGGAAGGTGTCCCCCACTTCCCTGGAATTCCTTTGCTAAGAAAGAAATGATGCTTCCTGTGAGGCAGCTAAGTTATTGTGGCATATAGAAAAGTTACAATGAGTGCGATTTATGTTTCTTCTATACCTAATCAGATGTACCTAATGCTCTGTGGAAAACTTTAAATGCCTGTTAGTTTTCATGTGCTTCCCTCCCCACCCCCAAGCTTAGATATTTTCTCCGAGATGGTAAATACTGTGACCTTATGCCTGGCCATGCCCTGGCGTAAGAGTACCAGATTGAACCTCATGTAGTTCCTAGGCAGTTGCAGAATACCAAAAAAACAACAGTAGTTTTTCACTGAGCTGCTCTCCTTACCTCTTTCTTGATCTCTCTAATCATTTCTTGATCTTCCTCATGGGGAAAATTAAGGATTTTCACAGCTTTTTCCACTTCTCTAAATATAAATGAAATAAAATATAATGATGTGTTATTTGCACATAGCAAATTCTTCAAAAGGAAGAAAGAACCTCAAAAAATTACATGCTTCCTAGATCCGCTAGGTAATACTTCTTTCCTCCAGCTTGCCCTGTAGTGTCCCTATATGGGGTTTCGGCAGGGAGGGCTAAAGGAAATGGCAGTTTGTCCCAGCGTCTCTTTGAGGGATTACAGTGCTCCAGCCTGTGTTACCATACAGACCCTCCGAGGTCCAGCTCTGGTGTGGGTGCTACGGATGCCCTTGTTTGTTCACGTGGCACAAGTATCTAGAACAGAGCAAGAAGTGGCCCTATGCGAGCTGAGTAGTTAAGGCTGGTGCCCACACACTGGTTTCGGGTGGGGTTTGGCTTGAGAAGAGCAGAATTGTATAAAAATAGCTTAAGGGGGAAAGGGAAACAAAAAGGAAAGTTGAGGGAGATGCAAATGACTGAATTGTTAGCTGTTACCAGGAACACTGGTGGTGAATCAGTGTTTACATATTCAAAATGTGGTTTTCTAATGGGCAGACTTAAGACTAGTGCATCTCTCTTGGCTCAGATTCAGCAGTTGCCCTATTACAGTGGTGGGGCTGGGATGCAGGCTTTGAGGTGAGAACTTTATAGTAGATAGTCTTTCTCTCTTTCTGTTTTTGTTTTTTGTTTTGGGGGGTTTTTTACCCCCCTCTTCCCCCAGACTTCAAGCATATCTATGACAAATGAGACAGTGATGGATTAACACAGAGAAAAAAACTTGCATCTTTTAAACTTACTATTGGGCAAATGCTGTGGTCAGCCTCATATTACTGTCTAGCTTTCCACGGGCCATGAGCATTTGCTCTGTGGACCGCGGTTTAAGAATTGCAGCCCTGAGGTGCTTCTGTCCTGCCCTCCTTCAGAAATGATGGAAAAACAGAGGAGCTTGCCAGTTCTCCTTGCATGCATAAGGCCTCCAACCATGATACCATGGGCTATGCAGCTCAAGCGAGAGGGCAGGTTTAATGCCTCCTATTTGAAAACTTAGGAAGTGGTTGGAGAGGATTGGGACAGTGGGGGTGAGAGAAGAGCCCTGGAACTTCCTTTCTTCTGTGGTCTCTTCCATAGCATTCTTGGGGCTCCTACAGTGGAGTGTGGAGAAAAACATCTTCCCTACCCTCATCCTGTGATCATCTGCCCAGTGAGCCTGGCTTGCCAGTAACTCCAAGAAGTGTTTTGTATGTATGTCTCCCCTTCTCTACTCTACTGTCATCTTCCAGTGTTTATAAAGAAAGAGGCAGCCTTAGGAAAAAAAGAGTATATGTGCACTGTGCATGTACTCAGAGGCTTACATTCGTATCTATTTATAAGACTATAGTAAGAGAAAGACTTTAGTTTGCCATGGTTATGTGCTCTTGTGGAGTTTAATGACTTACTCTCTGACCATTTCATTTGGCTCCAGAATCAATCTTTCCAATAGCATAGCCCGAACATTTTCATCCTGCAAGTGGAGTCTGGCAATGCAACAGCAGGCTTCTCTCCGTACTTCCGGCTCCTCCTCATAGTGAAGAGCCCAAAGAAGAAGATGCTTCAGCTGAGGACTCACATGGCCTATTTGGCCCAATGCTGTCAATGAAAAGGAAGAAAATATATTTGGTTTGGGGGCAGCAGGGAGGGGAAGGAACACTGCAGTGCTAATTAATGTATTAATTACAGTCCTTCTCGTTCATTAGGTTTCCAAAGAGCTACCTGTCCACAGAAGCTCAGGGGTATTGCATTTGCCCATCCAAAGGCTCGTTGAGCATGAGATGTCTGCTTCCTAAAGTGAGATGCAAAAATAAAGTGGTTCCTTGGGATTTTACAGTGCTACATATATGAAAGAAGGGAGATCTGATGATGCTTTTTTCTTGACGCACAGACATCCACGGTTGCCTATGAAGCCTGCAGTGATTTCTGTCAACAGTGTGCTGGCCTGGCCTTGCGAGAAATCCAGTGTGTTTACAATGTGTATGCCAATATACTCTACATAAAATGCTAGTGTCAGCAACAGAGAGTATTTTATATATATATATAAATGCTTCTTTCCTCCAGCTTGCCCTGTAGTGTCCCTATATGGGGTTTCGGCAGGGAGGCAGAGTTTCTTAACGGGCTATTGTGAAGGTAAATATAGTGGGAGATACAAGTATTCAGATAATATGGTAACAAGAGATGAGTATTTGTACATAACGGACAGATTTTGGAGAATGCTCCCCATCCACAGAATCACAGCTCTCCAAGTAATTATCCTTACGCTGTCCCCTCTGCTCTGGCTATATAGCAGTATAATCCCCACAAGCAGTAAAGTGGATTTGCACTGTTTCCTGACTTAGGTTTTGGAGATCCACCCACAGAGGGGAGCCTTGCTTCCCTAGACCTACGTGTTTTTCCTAGGTTACTTCTCCCTCCCGCCCCCTCCTGGCTGTTCCCTGCTAGGAGCTAGGAAAGGAACCTTAAGCTGTCCCCGAAAGTACCCCTTCCCACCTGATTTGAAGGTAGAAAAATA